AAAACTCTGAATGTTTAAAAACGGGGAAACAAATGCTGAATTATATTTCTATACTATATATATTTAAAAGTGTGCAATTCAACTTCCTTGTAGGTTGATTTGTTTTTCACTAAGGAAATTCAGTGTATGTTTACATACGTTAACAACAAGAATGAGATTTCATGACGACTGTACGTAATTTGTTTTCTTATTTTCATAATTGAATGCAAATAATTCTTTTTGTACCAAATCATTGATGTTAATTCAAAACAGAAGACTTGAGTTTAACTTGGGATTGACAAAAGAGTTTCAATATTTTCTACTTAACTGTTAAGTGTTCATAACACGATATTATACAGTATCAACTTATGAAGTTACACTGCTTTTTATTCTTAAATAAAAGGAAAGAGAAGTTCAGTTTTATGTTAAACGGGTTATTCTTAACCATAAAAAACCTTACTACCTTAGAACTAAACTTTTTTATTAAACTAAAATTAGACATAAAAGATCTTTATTTCGCATATTTTTCATATTTTTCACTTTTTACTTATTAATCTCCACCCCTGAGATCAAAAACAGCTTTAGAAATCTCGCCTGCTTTTAGGACTTTCAGTGCTCTTTCATACTCCTTAATACAAACATTCTTAACATTTTTTAATTAAATAGATTTTTTGCTCACAATATTTTTAGTATTCTAGAAATTACAAAAAGTTTTCTGTAAGATTGTATTTTGATAAAAAAAAATTAAGAACAAAATATTATTTGAAAGAAACTGTAATAATATTTTAGTAAAGGAATGAAATAAAAAAATTGATTTTTAAACTTTTGGTTATATTTTTAGCAAAGGAATTGAGTTTTAGCGAAAAAATACGAAAATTTTCGGTCGCATTTTGCAAACTTTTTGCGAAAATGCGAAACTATTTTTGTGAAAACCACGAGTTTCAAAGCTGTAACAATTAAGTGCTCAACAATTATGTGGAGTTCTGGTGCTCAATAGTTGAAGTTTTATTATGTCATTTAATAATTTCTCTTCCTTTATTTTAATAAATGTTTGATGAAGAGAATTTGATTTCACTAGCTAGCTTAAGTTTCTGACTGTCCGTCCACAATGCATAAGTTCAATTTTTGCATTATTTTTTTGTGAAATTTTCGCATTTTCTATTTTGCGAATTTTTTTGCATTTTTGCGAGCGAACGAGATGCGAAAATGAAGCGAAATGGTCGTGAAAAATGAGAAATTTTCGCGAAATGCTTTTTCCTTTTCGCTGGAAACCCTATTCCAAACTCAAATGTTCTGGGGATTAGAAAATCAGAGTTTAAATACAGGGTTACCCACAAAGGATGAGACTGTAAAGACGACCAGAAACTCATTAAAGATGACAGTCCCAGAGTTAATTTGCGTATTTTGCCTAATATATCCTAATGCAGCTTATTCAATGATTTAGCAAAGAAACAAAAAAATTACAGTTGCAGGTAATCGTGAATATATGAAATTTCTAATATTTTCATTGGAAACCCCCAGATTTTCATTCGAAACCCCCAGATTTTCATTGGAAACCCCCAGATTTTCATTGGAAACCCCCAGATTTTTATTGGAAATCACCAGATTTTCATTGGAAACCCCCAGATTTTCATTGGAAACCCCCAGATTTTCATTGGAAACCCCCAGATTTTTATTGGAAACCCCAGATTTTCATTGGAAACCCCCAGATTTTCATTGGAAATCTGGGGGTTTCCAATAGTAATTCAATGATCTTCCACATTATTGATCAAAGATAAAGGTTTCCAAATGCTTATTATTTGGTAAGGGTAGCAATTTGTTTGAAAATTTAACTTGATCTTTTTCTCAGTATTAAAAAACAACACAAATTCAGAAAATGACTGAAAGCGGGTTTTGGGGCAGAAACACTATCATGAAGTGGACATGATCCCTTTTTAATGGAGAGTCATTACGACAAGAGAGCCCAAATTTAATGAATTTGAGCCGCTTCTCAAATCCGCCAAAACCGGTTTCAATTAAGCGCTGGTTTAATCTTGAAACATTAAATATAATTTCTAGAGGAACCAACCAAATTTGTTTCGCATCTCAAATTTAAGCCGTAGCTAAAATTCTTCAATCCTCTTAATAATAATCCTCAGGGCCTTCAAAAAATTTCAAAACTAAATGTCAAAATATATCTGACGAATACTACTTGTAATCCATTAATCATGTGATCTAATTTATATTTTAAAGTGGGACAGACTGGACAGTATTTATGGTGAGTCTTTTTATGGTTAAAAATAATATGACATTTTGATTAAACAAATTTTTTTGTTACCTGGAGTTGAAAAACTTTTACTCCAAGCTTTTTAAAGTTTAGATATCTATCTCCCATATTGGCCGCCAAACTGAAAAGAAACGTGTAGATCATAGATTAATAACAATATAGATAGAACACTAGACGTCGTCGTTTCCAGATTTAGGGTTTTTTTTCATTTACAATAACCCTGAGGCAGAAGCCCAAAGGAGTTTCGCGCAGGCAGCGTTGAACTTCTAAACAGAGACAGAGCATGCACTTAACTCCTTTAATTCGCCAAAAAAAATCTTAAATTCTAAGTTAATATTTGGAACATTTAAATTCAAGAGCTTTGTATTAATTGATATTTAAAACTGAAACGTTAAACTAAATTTAGAAATTGAATAGATGTATAGCTTTTTGAAAGTTGTAAGAAACTAAGTTCTTGCCACAAGCTCCGATCTTTCATCTTTATACCTTAGAACTTGATACCGAAGACCTTTCATATTTCAAATTATGAATTGTGTTAGATAGAAGCGTCCAAGTTTGAAATAGTACAAGAATTCAGTTCCTTAAAAGACTTATCCTGCTCAAATCTTATTGCAACAAGAAAGGAATTCGATAGTGTACAACTTTGATAGTTCAAACTTATTTTATTTGATCTAACATAATTTCTTGTTTGAAATATCTAAAATCTACAACGTTTGGGTGCAAAGATTAGAAAATATGAGTTTGTGGCAAAAACTCAATTTCTTTAGAAGTGGAAAGCTTTCATTTGTTCTTGTTTACCTCAGTGACTCCGAATATGTATTTGGGTTGACAAGGCAGCCAATGATGGTCAATTCTTTTCTAAAACAAGAATTCATCATATTTTTATACGTTAATAACCTTTAGACCTTTTCTTCTTAATATAATAAAATTGTGTGTTATCCTCAGCTTTTTAAACATTTCACGACTTTTAAAAATAATAACACTATTTTTCTTCACATATTAAACTATAGAAAATAATATCAAATTTTTTTTGTTTTTCTTGTGTGAAATTCAATTATTTTTAAATTTTTAAATTAAAATTTTATTTTCTGGGGTCTTGTAAAAATCAATACTTTTTGAGTTATGTAAAAAAACTAAAGGAATAGGGTTAAGATCAAACATTGATCTCCATATATCATGCAGATCTTCTGATTAACTTTATTCCTCCTAGATATCCCTCATGTTAAACCCTTAGGAAAAACTTTAATTGAGGGATCAAGCATATATCCTCAATTTTAAAAATGCTTACTTAAATATTAAAATCAAGCAATTTAAAGAAGTTCTTGCCTAAAGACCTCCTCAGGAAAAAGGTCCATTGCTGCCCCGGTTGGAGCGCAACCAAATATAACAATAACAGCTTTTCTTGCAGACATAGATATTCCCTGTACAACAGCATCTCATCTTTTATACATTAAAAATAACATGCTTTATTTTATCATAATTTGAATCAATAATTTTAATTTGTCACCACAGCTTACTGCTCAAAAAAAGCTGTAAAGATATTGGAAAAAAATACCCCTCTGCCCTCTACATAAGCCCCATATTGAGAAAATTATTTTTGTGTAAAATTTAAATGTTAAATCAAATGAAAATAACGAAAAATTCACACTTTCTGCAGTGCTGGAGGATACCCGGAGCACTCCACAATGATATCAAACCCATCCTGCTCATCATCTACCCCATCCTCTTGGGAGTCAAGCTCTCCAGGAGTCAATACTCTGCATCCTGTACCTTTGTAAAAAAATACCGTAGTAATCCCTATATTTGTTTTCCTGAATATAAAATATTTATATTAAACTCAATCTGTAACATAGATATCTAAATACACATCCTTTGGAAAATACTATGCTTTGATTACAGTGAGAGAGTTATTTGTTCCTAATTTGAACAAACAAGATACGTAGATCATGCCCATTAGTTTGGCATTGATAGTTTGGGCACTTGTGTCCCTTTTGACATTGAAGCCTATGAGATGGTGCCAGTTGGTTTGGCATTGATATTTTTCGGTGCTTGTGTCCCTGTTGACATTGAAGCCTATGAGACCATGGCTGTGTTTGACATTGATAGATTCGAGAGTTGTACCTGGATTGAAGCAGTTTATGGAGTAGGGCATTTACTACAAAAGTGGTGGCAGCAGCAAGAAAAAGGAACCCTAGTTAAATGCCACAAACTCCAAGGCAGAAAAGTACAGTGATTTACATGGTTTTACTGGTAATAAGAGAAAGTGTGTCAGAAGAAACAGCAACATGTTAAGACTGCAAACAGAGTTAAAAATGAACAGTTAATAGGGTTTAACAGTGGACAGTTTTAGTAAAGAATCAGATACCAGAAGACCAACCATGAAGGAAACCTTCAGCGCAAGGAATTGGAAGCCCTGTTGAAGAGATTGGAAAAAGCTGAGTTAATACAGAGAAAATAAGAAGAACAAGAAAATAAGAAGAACAAGAAACAAGTGAAAGCAATACTGGAGCAGAGTGGGAAGATGAATGAAATACAACAATGCTAGGAACATCTAGAGGGAATATAGAAAGCTGGGAGAGCAAACTGAAGTGCATACAAGGAGATGTGTGAAATTCAAGCTATTATTGAAAAAATGGAGGATATCATTGAAAGTGCTCCCAAACCTAGTAGAAACTTGGAGAAAGTGTTTGAATGGTGCGGGAATTTGGAAACTCATCTGATTAACTGTAAAGGGAAACAATCCCAAATAAAGTTTTGAAATGGATGCTACAGTCCTGGATCATCAGACCATCTAGGAGATAGATAGTGCTGTTATTCTCACAAGAGAAATATGAGGAATGTTGGAAACAGGAATGCTTAAACAAGAACAGGAATTCCTAGACAAGAAACAGGGAAGTAGTAAAGATACCAGAGCATATTAAGCTGAAAAAGGAAGTTACAAGAGAAGCCTGCTAGAATTTAAAGATAAAATGATCATGGGACTGTATGATGAAGAGTGGATGGAAACATGCAGTTTTTTCATGCTGGAAGAACCACTACAGGAAATCGAGATAAAAGCAATACTAGACTGCCAACTATTCTCTGATAGATATGAGATAAAAGATACATATACAGACAGTTTTTAGACATTGAAAACAACAAGAGAGTGGAGAAAATGAGGGGAACAGGAAATATTAACACAGAAAGTTCTGAAACAGCAGAAAATAGCAAGAGAGATCATGGTCATCAAGGAAACAGTTTAACCCAGAAACAGTTTCCTGTGATAATGCAGAAAAAGGGATTGCAAACACAAGGGACAAGAATGGTATGAGGATTTAAAGAAGCATTTCCTAGAATGAGAAAAAAAATAATCCAAATGGGATTACAAGAGATGGAAACAAGAAACCAGCTATTACGTCGGATACAGTTTTGACAGAGAATGTTCGAATGATGAATGTCTGAAAACCCTAGGATCGGAAGATGTTAATCATGCAGAAAAGAAGGATACAGATTTGAAAAACATTTCCGACAGTTAACCTGAAAACAGAAGTTTCCAGGAAAGATACAAGGGAAAGTGATGAATTGGAAAGATCCTGAGTTTGAAGAATAAGAATAAAATGAACAATGATGGAGAAGTCATGATGAATGACAGAGAAGGAGATCAAATATATCTGGAAGAAGATGAAGAAGAGAGAGCAAGGATTGAAGGACTAAAATACCAAGCATATCAGAGCCTGCGATTAAAAAAAATCGGGAAAATACGACTCAGGTCTAAGCTGTCTTTAGGCCTTATTTACGGCTTGAGCTTTTGGATTAAAGCTGTATCTTTTTTCAATAAAAAACCAAGGTTGGTTTATTTTCACTGGGCCTAACTCCTTAAGTTGAGCCAAAGATTTTGCATCTGTTAATGACATGACACAAGCTGTTGTCACAGTTGGATTGAAGATTGGGTCTTAAAGTCGGTTTAAGGAATTACATCTTGAGCCAAAGTTTTTAAATCACAGGCTCTGGACTGGTTAGACCGAGTACACAGAGAATGTTCTGTTTGAGAGAACAGAAGATTGAGTTTATATAGGTAGGTTTTTGAGTGATGAAGATAAAGATAAAATTAAAGCTTTACTAAGTACTGAAGAGTTTTTAGCAATCAGGAAGTAAATTTTAGCAATGGAAACATCATTAAACAGGAAGTGCAAAAATACTGCTCTGAATCAGATTAAGAAAACTAGAAAACAGAAAATCCATGCTGCCAAAAGAACAAGGATCAGGTCAAGAGCTAGTATTTCAACAAGAATAAAATGGTTTACCAGGCAGTATACAAGCTATATGCATGCAGAGACATGAAGATAAAAATAAAACATTAACAGAAACAAGAAATTATGTATGAGAATCAGATTATCCTACAGAAGAAAGTAAGAAGGAATTTATTCATGAAAGCTTCAAGATAGATGAAATGAGATATTAAACTAAGACAAAAAGTTGAAAGAGCAGGTAGTGATACTGTAATTGGAAAAATTTTCGGAACATTACAGAGAAACAAATGTTTTAGAATTTGTCATCCATATGATGAACGTTTGCCGGATACCCGTCTGCTATACAATTACACAGCATGAATCAAGAAAAGCATCAACATCAAGAGAAACATCAGGAGCAAAAACGTTACACCATGATGAACATGCTGAGCATAACAACTGAGAAACAAATACCTAGATCAGAAACAAAGTCAGAAGAAAGTAATCAAGATCAAGAGATACAAGCAAACAAGGTAAAGGAAGGGTAATAGTAAAACCAAGGTAATTAGAAAATGAGAGAAAAATCCACAAGAAAATGAAGATTTATAAGAAAGGAAGAGAAATTACAGTACCAATGAAGTTAGCAAAGGAGAGAAAAATCAACAAGAAAATGAAGATTTATAAGAAAGGAAGAGAAATTACAGTACCAATGAAGTTAGCAAAGGAGAGAAAACTCAACAAGAAAATGAAGACTGAAAAGATAGTTTGGGGTGCATGTTTCCCTGTTGACATTAAAGCCTATTATATCATGTCCATTGATTTGGAATTGATAATTTGTGGTGTTTGTATCCCTGTTGACATTAAAAACTAGGAGATCATGCCCATCGGTTTGGCATTGAAAGTTTGCTCTCTCTTCTTGTGTGCCTAATTTTTCCATAAGCAACCTCTTTTAAGCTAGGTTTGTCAGTAGCTGATTAAAAATAAAATATTCATTGTTATACTTGAAAGTGAGTGAGACTGAAGTTATAAACTAACCTAATCCCTTGACAATATTCCTCCTTCCCTCCTTGGGTTCGGAAAGAGTAAGGTTTCTGTATCCATGGTAGTGAAACATGGAAACCCACAGGTTTCCAACTATGCCTGCACCAGTGATGAGAATTCTAAATTACACAATATGCATTTAACAAACAACAAAGGATAAAATTCCATTAAATTTAACAAACATATTTTTGGTGAAAAAATAATGTAAAGATTGTCTAGTCAAGGAGGGATGATAGTTATTGATGAAAACAAATGATATTGATACTGAACTTTGCAATCAATCTAGTTTGCACTGTAAATATTAAAACAAAATAAAATTTACAAAATTTTTGGAAAATGGAACTGCTGCAATTTTTTTAATACATTATTCCTAATTTATGAAAATTTTGAAAACTGTAGAATTAAAAAAATCCTTATTTTGTTTTTGTTTTTATAAGAAAAATTGAATTTAATTGGATAAATATAAGAATGTTTGTTTACTAAAGTATGCCACCTCTTCTGAGTCATGATTATTATGAAAAAGTGTTCAGGAATGTAAGAATTTCTTAAAAGCTGTAGCACATGACCAACATCGTGTTTGCCACTTAGCGGCGGAAAATGACAACTTTGGTGCTACACATGCAAGATGTATTATGTAAAAAAAGAGTATGAAACCTCTTTAAAAACTTTAACATTTAATCTGATTCTCATTTATTTAAATTGAATAAGATCTAACAGAAACAATAAATTTGAGCTAAAATATATGTATTCCATATGATTTTAGAGCAACAAATTTATAAATACAATAAAAACACTGTCAGGATTATCATGTTCATCTTCATGCTGTTTGGTCACAAACATTGCACAGCCTGTTTACTTCTCTTTTTTTCTGACTCCTTCTACAGCAACTGTCACTGGCAGTTTATTTGATCCTTCTTTCATTTTCTAGCTTCTTCCACAACAGCTGTAGTGCAGTTACTTTCTTCTATTTTCTAGATTTTTCACAACCTGTACTGCCTCAATCCTGATCTGAAATGAAAAACAATTAAACAAATTGTGTAAACAAATTCCTTAATTTGTTTTTATCTCCCCCCCCCCTCCTTCTAAATACATTCACCGATGTCTACATTCTATATTTACATTCGTAAGAAAGAATTCAATTTAGTTTATTTCATGGTACCAACAATGAAGAGTTTAGATGTGGGAGATCATATCTACGCTGTCGTATATACTACATCGTTTTTACAATAGATCTTGATGTGGACTGTTAAGTATGCCACCAGGACCTGCATCAGACATGATGATTGTAGCTCTATCCAACTCTGGCGAAGCCCGTCATTTATACAATGCGGTAAAACCGAGTTTGGTTATTTTTCTAGCTGGGCAACATCAGGATAGTCATTGATGGCCAATATGTAACAGACTCAGAAGTCATTCTGCAAATTTAGAGAACTTGAGGTAATTTTGCGGGGCTGACCGCATCTGTGGACCCATGCTGATCATTTGAACCTATAAAGGCTTTTAAAATAAGGGATGATAAACTAGTTCAATTACAATGCATTAAAATTTTCTATAATTTATTATAAAATATCAAAATTGTTTTCATTAGTTCGAAAAAGTCATAAATTGAATTGACTATTATTCAAAATAGTCATAAATTGAATAGATTATTTTATTAAAAATAGAATAAATTGGTTGGATTCACAACAGGCTCCTCAACAAACAAAACAAAGGTGTTTGACGATATTAGCATGGTGGGGAAATGGTTGATAATTCACATGATTTATTCATGACCCCTCGTTATGTTATACTTAAGGTTTCCACCGGAATTCCGGGTCATGGTTTACATACGGAAATGATCCGGAAATTTTTTCCATTTCCATTATGGAAAAGATTCTGGAAATCTGGAATTCCAGAACGATTTCCAGAACGAGTTTTTTCCGTAAACCGGAAATTTCCAGGACGTTGTTCTGGAATTACGGAAGGTTACGGAATAGTGTTCCGGAAAATTCCGGTTTATGGAACAATTGTTCCGGAATTTTCTGGAAAAAGGTTCCTTGAGTCTAATTGATGTTCTTACAAAGCAAATAGGTTAAATAGTAACTTATAAAATCACTTTTAAATTGGTCTGTATACAGTATAGTTTATACTACGTAATTGCCATGTCTCATGTTCATTGAACTATTTAGAGTCATAATTTAAGTCTAAAAAAGTCATCCTCTTATTCCAGAGTTTTCTGGTTCTCACTCTATTTATATTATTTTCTGTTAAAAGATCATCAAATTCTTGCCTCCGCTACATCACCCCCATGATCTTTTAACGACCTTATTGCCTCGTTAGGTGTTGAGTGATCTTAATATTCACTTCCTTGCACAAAAATGTTCACACTTCTTACAGCGTCTTTATCCATCCATGCACATTGCAAAGGATGGAGAAGATAACTAGTGGTTCTTGGCCCTTGGTTTATTATGACCAGCCTTGCATGTTCTGATCCCAATCCTAGCTACCCATCTAGCCAGTGACACAGCTGGGATGGCTCCTGCACAAGTTATAGCAAAACTGAGAGCATACCAGATTGGAGTTACAGTTCTCACTAGGAAATAACCATAGCTCCGACCCAGGGTACCTATATTGAAGAACTGAAATAGCTCATTCTCACTACCCCTGGAACTTGCTGTAATGCTTGAGTTTGACGAGATCTGTGGCACTACAGGGGCATCTGACGAGATGCTGCTACCCTGAACATTCCCCTGCTGATGAATACCAGTGGTCTGAGCATGGAATTCATCAACCAGTTCATTCTGTAACTGTTTGGCGGGTAGCTCAAACTGTGATAACTCATCATCGAGGTCTTTAATGGCTTCAGGAGGTAATTTTTGCAATTGGAACAGTGGATCTATATCTTTTTGGCCCAGTCTTTNAAACACTAAACCTATCAATTTAATGAGATTCCAGGTCTTCTGTGTGCACAAGTACATCACCAAGATAAGCCACAATTCCCCGGCTTCCTAAAATGTCCACGAGCCTCTGAACAAACCTACAATATGTTGCCCCTGCATTTTTAAGACCGAAAGGCATGAGGGCAAACTGGTAAAGCTAGAACATAGTGGCAAATGCAGTAATTGGGCGCGATTTTTCCTCCACCAGTATCGCCTGATATGCCTGAGCCGCATCCAGGGTGGAAGAATATTTAGATTTACCTAGAGAATTTAAAATTTCAGAAATATTAGGGGTTGGAAAGCTATCGGTCACAGAGAGAGAATTTACCTGCCTAAAGTCTAAAACCCAGCTTGTCTCACCTGACTTTCTTCGTGACCAGGACCAACGGAGAAGACCAGGGAGACTGTGAGGGTTCTTTGACTTTGAACAAAAAAAAAATTAGGTGTCTATTTTCAATGCCGTGTAATGCGCTGACTTACTGTAATAGCGGTCTTCATATTACAGTTAGGGTGGAACCGAAACCTGAGAAAACTATATCATGCAATATCTAAGATGAATGAGTATTAATGAAAGGGTTTCCAATTGTTTTAACTTGTCACCATGTTGCATATCAATAAATTGCAATAGGGAGATATATTTCACTCCTCAAAGAGATCAAACTACAAAGAACTCATTCACTCGATATTAAACGATATACGGTACAAATACTTTATTAAGTGTAAAAATACAAACTGATAATGATACTAATGGTAAAATAATATTGAAGTTGAGAGGGTAGAGCTACAGATCTCCAACTCAGTCTCGTAACTTCTAGCTGAGATGGTTGATCACTAACTGCCCGCTCTCCGGGTATCAGTTGACCTGCCAGGCTAGATCTGGAAATCCCTAGTTTCCAACTTTAAGAGCTGAATACCCGTTTGTTCACCCTGGGCCCCTCTCCAAGCGTCAGGTTAACAATCTTTGGTTTCCCTCCAGCATTGTTCTATTTATAACTTTATACAACCAGGATTAGAATATTTTCAATCCTGAATTTTCCGTTAAAAGATCATCAAATTCTTACACTATTGCTTTCTCTGCCAACAGATAATCCCATCACTCCTTTCTTCAGCATCTTGTTATTCTCAATACTTGATAAGGAAGGGTTCATTACTCTCTTAAGTTTGTTGTCAGGCCGCCTCCACTCCTGATTCAATGCACCCTGTGGCCTGACTTGTTCTTATCTATTCCACAATGTTCCATGGTTAGGGTTGCATAGTTACCCAGAGTTCAATCCCCTTGGACTTGTTAGGCTTCATGTATAGATTGCATTTGTTATGTGCATCATTTCTTCAGCTGGGAGTAATGATTATGTACATGGGAGAATGACCCTTGGTGGGTTAACAATACTCATTGGTACAGCTACTTTTCAAGATCTTGAAGATTCATCCTGTGTAAAGCACATGTAAATTACATGGAAATATTCTGTTAAAGTTCTCACATTCTTTCACATTTTTGCATGTAACATATTTATATATCAGAAATCAACTATGTATATATCACCCTGCCCCCCCACACCTTTCCCAGGATTTAAAAAATGTAGTTTTTTAATAATTTTGGTCAGTAATATGTCATCAGAACTTCCACTAATGGCAGTGCAGTATTGTTGTCACATGCCCAACAAACAAAACACAGGTTTTCAACGAGATTAGCATTATGGAGAACTGGTTGATAATTCACGTGATTAATTCACATACCCTCCTTGTGTTATACTCATGGTAAATCTACTTTTCACAATCTTGAAGATTCCTCCTGTGTACAGCACGGGTAAAAAACGCGAAAATATTCTTTGAAAATTCTCGTTGTTATTTCACATGTTGTACACGTAGCAAAATAAACCAGTGCAAAATCTTGCATATTCCTATCGTGTTAAGCTTGAGTAATGCAATGCCAGAATTTTTAGATCTTAATTCTCGTAATTATCATGTGTACTATATTTGAGATAATTCTATAGTTCAATTCTCGTAGTTTTTTCACATGTTCTGCTCGTAGAAAAGATACCAGTGCAAGCTCTTGCATATTCCAAACGTGTTAATCATGAGTAATGGAATGCCAGAATTATCTAGATTTTAATTCTTGTAAATATCACGCGTAAAATATTTGAGATATCACGGGAAGAATTTCATCTTTCATTTTTAACAGAGTTGCAAAATCACAACACTTGGTGTCTCTGCTCATCTTTTAGAAACTAAAAGTTTATTGTAGTAAAATGAAATATTTCAACTGACATAAATTTTTCAGATTATAACAAGCATGAGCATAGTATAGAAAAGTTTCACATTGAATTTTGTATTGTATTTCTCAACAACCCCTTTTTGGAATATCGATATTTTAGATATATACAGGAAGGAGAATTCATATAATTATGAACACATTAACATAATTGAACATTATTTAGACTTGAAATATCACTTTGTGATAAGAAAAGTTTAAAGTTTACATGTTCAAGATGTTTAATGTAAAAGATATAAACTAAAATGTTTAGTTTCTAAACATTTTGTAATAATTATATACTTTTACACAGTATATTTTATAATATATTTATATATCAGAAATCAATTATGTATCCCCCCTTTCCCAGGGTTTTTAAAAAGGTAATTAAAGTAGATGGGAGAAAAATAATTTTCCCATGTAAAAATCCCGTGTTCATCTCGTGAAATAAACTCAAGTTTTCCCCATGTAAAAACTCGGTCCTAGACCCGTGATCAAATCGTCGACAATCACCTCGACAACACGTGAATTATCACGGGATAATGACGGGTCACTCTTGTAAAAATGAAAAAGTTTAAGCGTTTAAATACATAATTTGTTTTCAGTTATGGCTAAAACCCACAGGGGGGACAGGGTGTACATAAGGTTCTGTAGGAAGGGTAAATTTTTTGAATGTGATGTTCTACGCACGCCAAATTTTTTTAACCCCCCCTACAAAAATATCATTATGTATATCAAATTATTGGTTTTAGTTGGGGTTGATTTGCATTTTCCACTGATTTCTGGCATACAAACTCCATCAGATAAAGGCTCAATTTCCTACCTTGCTTTCACCTTTTTTTCTATCCTTCATTATAGTCATTCATTTTACATTAACTACAAAGATCTGTAAAAAACTGAATTTATTTTATGTTCCTCGCCAGTATGTATCCCAAATATATCGTTTTACACAATTACGTCTGCTATTTAGCATCAAGACGATATAGTTCAACTAGTGTAATACTGACGACGAACTTTCAATGTTCACCGTCAGTACAATCGTAGTTTGTTTCCCATATTACTTTCTTTGACATTATACCATTGTTACATAAAAACTTTTTAATGCATGCTCATCAGATTTTTCTCATTAAATGCTCCAATATTATGCAGATGAATTTTAAAAATAAATCCTAGTCAAAGACTAAATACAAGCAATTTATTCTCTACACTCCTCAATTTGTTTGTCTTGCAGGACAAATCCGAATTTCCAATTAATGGAAAAAATGAAAATGATAAAATGTATCCGTATGATTTATCTAATTTAAATATATGTACACATTATTATCGTAATACAATTGTATTTAGTACATGTTGATATTTTTGTACAATTAATCTTGTAAACTATAATAACCATGATACGTAAATAAATATCTAGATTTTAAAAGAATTTATTTTAAGTAACATAAAAAATAGTTTTACTCTAAGAGGAAAAAGATGTTACTTTTTTAAATCTTTAGAAAAGCTAGTCTGCTAAACTTTGAAAAAATATTGTCTTGGTTTACATTCTAATTTCTATTTTCTAAAATTTTCCTGTTGTCAATATAGCGAATCTATGTAAGAAAGTCCAGGGAAAAAAGTTTCCGAAAAAAAAAACCTGGAAATAATAAAGTTCGAATTTACTCAAGTCCTTTGAAAAAATGTCACTGGAAATAAAGTCCTGTGTTTTGGATTCCTGGGACGTTTTTCCTATGGGGGCTGCCAAACAAGTCTCAGGAAATAAGATCTTAGGAAAAAAAAGTCCTGAAGAAAATAAATCTGGGGAAAGAAAAACCTAGAAAAAAAGTCCTAAGTCTTGGGAAATTTGAACTCAGTAATTTAAGTCTGCGGAAAAAAAGTCCTAAGAAAAGTTGTGTATGAAATCCCCCATACAAGTGTACTATGTACATCATATACAAGGCTAGTTTTATATTCTTAAGTAATATGAAAAAGAAAATGCTAACTAAACTCGTGATAAATATATATATATGTAATAAATATATTTATATTTCTTTTTTGAAAATTATTTACCCTTGCCATTATACAGTCTGAGAGGTTTCCAAAAACGGACTTTTTTCCATGTGCAATTTGGAAAATAAGGTTAAGTCTGAGAAGTTTTCATAAAAAGGACTTTTTCCATATTGAATATATATATAGCCAGGGGTGTTTAAATATCAAGCCCCTGAAAACCTACAATTATTGATAGGATTTTTACAACCAGGACTTTTTTTCCAAGGACTTTTTGTATAAAAGTCCTAGAAAATAAAGTCTCAAATTGGTGGGACTTTGTTTCTGGAGAATTTTTAATAATAGGACTTTTTTCCACAGGACTTTTTTAGTGTGAAATTTTAGGACTTTTTTCCAAGGTTTTTTTTGACGGTTACCCATTAAAGTATGTTAAGATCTTGAATACTCTAATTAGGGTTTCCAATGCAAGTGGATTTTACTTGCGTGCAATTGCAAGCCCTTGCGTTCAAATGAATTTAATTGCGTGCAATTCCATAATAATTGCGTGCAAATAAACGCAACGGAATTGCACGCAATTCCGTCCAACTTTCTTGTTTTGTGTTTCAATTTTTTTTAATAAAATTAATTATTGCGCAATTCCTTTCAACAACAAAATATTCAATTTAAACTTTGGCTGTGGCATACCATAAACTGAACTTCACTAACATTTCAGTCTCAAATGCTTAAAAAAAATTGAATTTAAACTTAATATTTTGTTTTATAATATTCCTTTGTAGCATGATAACCAGAAAACTCTGGCATAGAAAGACAACATTTTAGACTCAGCCAGACCCATGTAACTGGATAAGTGATTTAAGTTACTAATCAATTTTGTTTGACTTGTAACTATAACATTAAATACACTGTGATGTTGTCTTTCTGTATCAAAGTTTTCTGGTTCTCACTGTTCAAAATATCTAATTTTGATTAAACGAACCTTACAATTTTAAACAAAAAAAATTTCCATTTTAAAGTTTATCAAATGCTAACAAATGAAAAATGTATCATATTTAATTGTTAATTAGTAGCTTAACCCCAAGAAACTTTAAAATTTGAAAACTGTTGAAACAAGTGACACTCGGGCCTCGATTACTTTAAAATCAACAGAGATATTAAATTCCATTCTTGTATCTGCTGCATTAATTTGTAAGTCAAGCAGTTAAAATTATTGATTCCTTTTTCACAATTAAAGCGCAATTATGCGCAATGAAATGGCGCAAGCGGAAGCAACCATTGCACGCAATTCCGCACAATTGCGCGCAACAGAATTCCGATTGGAAACCCTAACTCTAATATGGAAATGACATTATTTAGAAGTAAAAAGGATGGGGGGGGGGGGGTAATTACCTCCAGGATTCTAGGAGGGGTACCCTAATAACCCCTTCTATTTCCGCCACTAAGGGGGGAGGGAGTATGCAACACCCCTCCCCCTAATTGTGATTGGTTCAAAAGTTGCCAAATGTAAGCTAAGAGTTAACCTTGCTCCAGGTAGATAACTGGTTAGAGAGCTCTGCAGTCTACTCCAACCATGAAGAATACAAGACAAAGGTTCACAGAGAACTCCCTATACAAGTGTACAGTGTACTCATGTGAAACTTGATTTAGCATGATCAGCATCTGGCTCTTAAAAAATCAATCGAGTATTGTTTGTTTTACTTCCATCTACCTAAATGTATAAAATCACATAATTTTTGCTGAAAAAATAGAATAGGAATAAAGCATGTTCAAAATAATTAAACAGATATTTATTTTCAAGTTTTAAATCAAAATAATGATGATTGCTTTTAATGTAACTGATAAACTTATTTTTCTCCAAAACTAAATTCAATCTTTGGCTTATATTTCAAAAATATTATGAACAATAAAAATGATGCACATACTCATTAAGTTTAAAGGGCGCCAATAACCAAATAATTTGCACTTTGTAACAAGAAAATTGCAAAATAGAATATTTTATTTTATGGAGATCTGTAATGTGCATGGAATAACAGTTAAACCCAAAGTTAACATGTAGCATGGAAGGGGAAATGTTGTGGCTTAGGGCCAGGCCGCCTTCCCTCTCCCACTCATAGTGCTGGGCAAAGTTAACAAATTGTAAATATCTGAGACAGTTGAAAATAGAATAGAACTCTTTTGAATAAAACAGTTTTGAAAAGGTTTATTAGAAAAAAAAATTTCACCAATTCCAAAGAGAGTGAAGGTGGAAGAAGATGCACTTGATCTCCTGGATCAAAATGAATGATTAGGAATTTAAATTTTATGAATAAATGTTGTCTAATCACTTCTCCTCAACTTTTTAGGTTGTACAAGAGAAGTAGTTTAACTTTGTCTATGCGGTTGAACTGGTTTGGTCAAAAAAACTTTGAACATATACATGATATGTAAATTTCAAGTAGACTAAAACCTGGTACTAGACAAAATTCAGCCATGCCACCATCACGAAATACACCAACTCCATCTCGAGTTCCTGAAGAATGAACGATTAATCTCTTTTTTCAGATGAGCAAAAAATATTGGTCAATTCAGGATATAATTCTCTGCTTGAAGAAATGATTCCACCTCTTGATAAATAAGATTAGAGATTTTCCTGAAGATGAGAGAATAAATTTTACTTGACATGTTCATCTATAAGTTCTCAGCTCAGTGCATTTTCATTAAAATTTGAGTATTGTTACTTGTTACTAGGGTTGTTAAAAACATTGAAATAAAAGACAATTTTTCGCTTCGTTTTTATATTTTTTTAAAAACAATAGTTTTGTTTAAAAAAACAATCCTATTTGAAAACAATTGAGTTAATTTCAATTATTAGAAAGATAAGGTCATGAATAACCTGAATGTATTCTGACCTCAGATTTTCCGACCAAAAAATGTATTTTCTATGTAAACAATCATTAACGAAGAGTCTTTGTTAATGGTTGTTTATGAAATGCCGTTTTAAAAAACTACCCTCTTTAGAAAACGAAAAATGATCATTCTTTTAAAAACTATCATTATTTTAAAACAAAAACTATCCTTCTTGAAAACGAAAGTTTTTCATATACAATGTGTTTTAAGAAATCATTTCGTTTTTCATCTTTTCTTGTTTTTTCAAAACAAAACAAATGTTTCTTAAAAAAGTGGAAACAATTCATCCCTATTTGTTCCTTACCTCCATTTTGGCAATGGTTAACCTGCCCTCGTCTGCAGAATTTACAGCTATAACATGGTCTGAAAATCAGTTAAAGAAAGTTATCAACAAATTTTTTTGATCACATTTATCAACTAAGTTTTGTTGATAAAATATGCAAGAAACATTTCTAATTTTTAAAAACTTTCAAAACTATTAAAACCTGTTAGGATCAACTCCGACATGATCTCCTTTCTTGAAACCGGTAATGTCTGGCCCAACATCTTCAACCATCCCAGAGAATTCATGACCGATAGTAACAAACTTGTTACTACAATTCTTAAACTTACCCTGCAGAATAAGATGGAAAATAAATGGCAGTAAATTTTTACAAATAGTTTGTAGTTTAAAAAAATTGTCGTTTTGAAAGCTAAACGCTTACCAAAATACACCCCCAAAAAGGGTAATGGATCATTTTGAAAAAAGAAATCCAACATGATGTAAATTTGAATATTTAAGGAGGATGGTAAACTCCCAAATATTATGATAGGTAATATAATTTAAAGATTGCATTTTATTTAATATTTTTTAACAAAATCAATAATGTGAAAGATTGTGCTGTTTATATAGGTTTGAATGTACTTAATTCTGATTATTCCTTTAGGTCTTACTGCACTAGAAATGTGCAAGAAAGTTTTGTATAGAACCCACAATTCAAAATAGTCAGTTTTCAAAATTATGATGATGTAGATATAATTCATATTTGATCTGACACAAATTTTAAAGGTACCTTTTTGCATGGATGGCAGTTGAAACTACCCTTACAGTGGCTTTAATTTTTCCAAATAAATGATTTAAAAAACGACCTCTAATATATGAAGATCAGTCCCACAGAGTCCTGCAAAAGCAACTCTAATGAGAATGTCTGTAGATCCGGATATCTGAGGTTTTGAAATCTGAAATAAATGTTTATGATAGCTCTTACAAATTGCTAAGAGTAAAATAACAATAACAAATATTTAAAGCTTTTTAAAACTAATGTGAATACATAAGATTTAACAAATATTTTCTTTGTTTGATATTTTTTTCCTGCTTGATTTATGATCAGCCTAAGTTTAGATCTCTTTACTAGGGCTGGGCATGTTCCGACTTTTTTGAAAGTGTTCTGTTCCGTTCTAGAACGAGGGCCTTCAGCTAAATCGTTCCGTTCTCGTTCATAGATTGCCGTTTTCTTGTTAAAAAAAATTAAATTAATTTAAACAACAAACAGATAAGTCAATTTCAAGGATTCTAGGGCCAAAAAATAAAGCTGAACTGATTGAGACATTTTTTTAGGAACTCAAATGATTTCAAAGAAACATTTTCTTGCAATCTATTTTGGTCAGAAATTCTTGATTCCCCTGAACTTTGAAATTTAGGTGCAGTAAGATCTTCAAAATTTTGTATTTAATAGCTAGAAATACCTTTATAAACTTCAAATTCTCATTCAGGGCCAGTTTAGCATTGAATTGAAGTGCCTGCATGATTGTTGCACAAGTGGAAATATTTTCAGCCAACAGGTTATAAGAATCACTGTTTACTCTTTTATAGTCTGAATCTATTAGGGCTGGGCATGTTCCAACTTTTTCTAGCTGGTTTGTTAAAGGTTAGTTCCAATACTTAAAACACAAATATTTCAGTTAGCCCTTAATATGACAGGTAAGAACAGAATTTTTGTTCCGTTAACAGCATTTTCCGTTTTTTTTAATTACTGTTAGTTATAGATTTAAATTTTATTAACGGCGTTAAAGGAAAAAGTCCCAAAACTGGTAATGGCTCTAGTTGTATACAGTACAATACATTATTAATGGTGCAAAGCGCCCACAAAATTTGCTGATTGTTTAAGGAATCATTACTGGCGCAGCCGTTAGTGGTTATTTTAGTATTAATGGTTTTAAAATTGTTTAACGGTCTTTAGTATTATTAAATTAATAAAACTTCCACAAAAATTAAAGGTATTACTAATTCCAAAATTGTTTATACTAAACATTTGCTTTACTTAGTTTAGGCCTAATTATGCCTATGAGGCATTACACTGTAAATATAAATCAGCAACATTTTTTAAAATTTGTTTCTTAATTTAATTTTTTTTATATAATATTCAAAAATTATGTTTATTTGAAAATTAAAAATATTTTTTCCTTTTATTAAGTTTTTTGTAAAAGATATGTTTTTTCAACAAATGAAATTTGAAAAATTACAAAAATTTTGTAAAAACATATTCATTCATTGTTGATTAAAAATTAACTTATTTTGACATTGATTTGTAATTTTTTTTAATAAAAAAAAATTCTATTCTGATGTGATATGAAATAAATCAAAATT